CCTCTTAGCGACGGCCTCCAATCTAATAGCGATGGCCTCCAACCTCTCAGCGACGGCCTCCAATCTAATAGCGATGGCCTCCAACCTCTTAGCGACGGCCTCCAATCTAATAGCGATGGCCTCCAACCTCTTAGCGACGGCCTCCAATCTAATAGCGATGGCCTCCAACGTATGATCCCATTTTCTTCTGTTTTGGGACCTGGGAACGTAGGAACTACAGCGACGACTTCGCCCACGCGAGTCCGCACCGGTCGCGTTGCTTTGCAGCGGCTGCGGACTTTCGGCAGTCGCAATTCACGGTGTCGGTTTTTGGCAAAGCGGAGGATCCGTTTAGCCGGAGCGCAAAAGGGAATGAGATGTGCGAGATAATGAAAAGCTCATGATAAGCTTTATGTTTGAGGAAAGTTCTGCTTTCAGTTTTTCCCACGGTTGATTTTGGCCTGCGGTGTTGTCACACAAGTTGAAAGTGAACACCTCAAATTGGTGAACTTTGGAGTGAAGGACCAAGATGTTCAACATGTTGGGACGATCAATGAAATAAATAACCAATGACAACAATATTATATATATATATGGCTTTATTTATTTATTGGTGAGTCATGATTTAGACATAGTGAATAAAGAGACAAATATCTACAAGAGATGCTACCTGGCTCGACGCCTTTGGTTGACACCAACTTCGCCGTAATTTGCATTTCCTCAAGCTTCCCGGGCTGCGCGTTGACCAGCATCTTGGCGACATGAGGTTTTTCGGAGAAACGTCTCCAACCACGGTTTTTGTTCCGACACAAAACGTTTGTTGTTCATAGTATATACTTTATATTCAGTTTTGAAACAATTATGTTTATTTTGTTTCTTCAGCGAAGAAGGAAACAAAATGCACTGAGAACCCCTCATAGCAATGGCCTCCAACCTAATGGCGATGGCCTCCCCCTAAGAGCAATGGCCTTGTAGAATCGTAGAATGGAACCGATATTTCTCTGGGAATGTTTTTTGGGGCTCTTTTCCGGGAATGTTTTTTGCGTTTGTTTTCTGCTTTTGCTTTTTGCGTTTGCTTTTGCTTCTGCTTTTGCTGTTGCTTTTTGCTTCTGCTTTAGCTTTTTGCTTTTGCTTGTTGCTTTTGCTTCTGCTTTTGCTGTTTGCTTCTGCTTTCGCTTTTTGCTTCTGCTTTTGCTTTTTGCTGCTGCTTTTGCTTTTGCTTTTTGCTTCTGCTTTTGCTTTTTGCTTTTGCTTTTTGCTTCTGCTTTTGCTTTTGCTGTTTGCTTTTGCTTCTGCTCTTGCCTTTGCTCCTGCTTCTGCTTCGGTTTTAGCAAGCGCTTTTGCACTTGCTCTTGCTGTTGCTTTTGCAATTGCAAAAAGGCAACTTGAAGCGCTGCAAGTGCTGCTGCAAGTGGCCAGCTTTGTTTACTGCGCTGCTTGCAGTAAAGAGCCTGTGCCGGTGCATTCCTTTTGTGAGCTACTCGAGGGCAAAATTTAGAGGAAGGTGCCATTCCAACGGTGCATACCTTTTGTGAACCACCCGAGGTTAAGATTTAGAGGAGGAAGGTGCCATTCCTGCAGTGCGTACCTTTTGCGAGCCACCTGAGGGCAACATTTAGAGGAGGAAAGTGTCAAACGAAAGACGCCCGAAGGTAAAACTTAGACAATGAGGAAGGTGCCATTCCAACGGTGCATTCCTTTTGCGAGCCACCTGGGAATTTAGTGAAGGAAGCTGCCAGTCCAACGGCGCGTGCCCTTTCTGAACCACCCAAAGTTTTTTTGGGGGCGGGAGGTGTTACTGTATGCCAACGGTGCTGACCTTTTGTGAGCTACCCGAGGGTAATATTTAGGGCATC